CCCCAAAACCCCAAAACCCCAAAACCCCAAAACCCCGGCAAGTATTCGAAAAATTGTCTAATTATAATAATAAAGTCAAGAATGTCAAAGACAGATACCAGCTCAATAAAGAAAATGTCAAAGAACTCCAAGAAAGAAAAGAAGATAAAGGATATTCGGGAACGTTCTAGAGAACATAGGCTAAGAAAGAAGAAATACCTAGAGGACTTGACCAACAAAGTAACATTACTTGAGAACCAAGTTGAAGCTTTAAAGTCTGAAAACAACAGACTCCAAGACATAGTAAAACATTATTCCTAAATCCTAGGTGGCAAAGTACGAATCAGAAGGCAGGCCAGATTCCGGATGTGCTCCTACAAATAATATGATACACAACTAGCCAACTCAGTATGCTCTAGCCCAAGCGACAATTCATCTATAGAGCTATTCCCTATAAAAAGGAACGAAGATTATGTATTCAATTACATTTGGCCAAAGATGTTGAAGAATCCTGATGAGATCAGGTACACCATGCTGGATAAGGCAGCTAATGATATTTATGAGTGGAAGTAAGAAGGTTTCTTACTTTGTAGCAAAGACCGCAAGGATTATGTTAAGGAGCAATTTAAGAGTAAGATAGAAATGATATTCTTAGATATCCTAGATGGAATGGCCTCATTCAACTCGAAATGCTTCTGAGTGATTTACAACACTATCCCAAGCCGTAAGTATAACAGCTATCTCCGATCAAAATAAGAGAAAGCACAAGTATATCCAAAAAGAGTGTGAATCAGTGCAGGACATCTTCTTTCAGTATGATTTCTCAGAAGAATTGACTAAAATAATGCTTAAATGCAGCAAGGTGGCATCTAAAGGATTGAAGGAGCTATCCAAAATGTATTTTCCCATAACAAATATAGTGCTCGAGAATTGGTAGTTCTCAGAAACAGACTTCTGAATGCCTATAATGTGATGGAAGAATACTTCGATGCTAATCAAGAGATGTGGATCAAATATGATAAGGAAGATGTAGTCAAGTTTATCAAGATCTTTAGTGAGATGAAGATCAGGAAGATGGTCACAAATCATTCTGCTTGGCAGATACCGAAGAAAAATCATACAAGTGAGAATTATGAAGAAGGGGAGATGACTGAAGAGGAGCTGTAGTTTTAATGCGGTTTACAGGTTCAACAAAAGTAAAGTGATTTGGGGTTTTGGGGTTTTGGGGTTTTGGGGTTTTGGGG